AAAGGTCGACCTCCACGTGGTCCCCCCTGGAAACCATCGTGCTGAATTCCAAGCGAATTTATCACGATGGGCTAATTGACCTGCTTTTTCATTCTCACCTATCATCTCTCACTGATGTCCCGCCAGTGTATACCGACAGCGCGGGCGGGGTTACAATTCCATTATCATCAATTAAAAAAAATATGGTACCCAAATATTTTGATCTAAAAACTAAACTACTGAAACAATTTTGATAAAATATTTATGGTGGTATTATAGAAAGATAGATAAAAAAAGAATTTTCCGAATCGGTTTCGAACTGACCAAGTTATTATAATTGAATGGAGAACCTCTTTCTTTTTGAAGTCTGTTGCAAATACCTTCGTTTATATAAAGGGTAACAAAAGCATGACAAATTCTGTTACGTTCATAGTGTTGTTTATGTTTATAGGTAACGGAGATTAATTTCCATCAAGCAAGCTCTCAGCTTGTTTATTATTCCCATTATTACGTATTAAATAAAAGTAAACTGACAGGCCTTTTATCCTACAATTGAGTAACTACCATAAATGTAATCAAGTTATCGTCACAATGACATAATCTCTTGCAAAATGTCAATTCCTATTCACGAGGCAGCAGGAAAGATATTTCATTTCTCATTAAATTATAAACTATAATTATTGGTGTACACGGCAACGAAATAACTCTTTTAGAAGGGGGAGGTAAGGGATTGTTAGTAATGCTGACTATTGCTAGCAATAGCACTGCTAGGTCGACATCCACTTACCCCCGCCCCCCCCCCCCGCCCGGAAACTATCGTGCTGAATTTCATGTTTATACATCACGATGGGCTGACTGACCTGCTTTTTCATTCTTACCTATCGTTCATAATTTTTATTGTAAATCGATAAGGGTCATTTCAGTCATGGTCTCATACCAATTAAGTTCCAATCTTATATGGTGTATTTTTTGAGCAGGAAAACATCGTTTTTAGGTCTCATAAAGGTAGTATACAACCCACACAACAAACACTGGCATATTTAAGTTCATTTTTCAGGGCTGACCCCTTTATAATAGCATATTATGTACTCTTAGACTGTCTTTGCGCATTTTTTTTTATAACACAGGGGACAGTCGCTGCCCATAATAATAATATAATTAATAATAATTAAAAAGTTTCGCTCGCATTATAGGCTAATTCGATGAATGGATTGATAGTAAAGAAGACTTACAGCACCATTGCTAGCAATTTAGGGTATATTATATCAGGTCAACTACGTGCTTAATTCTTGTGATATTTGTCGTGATCAATATCTTTTACTAATGCACCACTAGTATATACCGGTAGAGAATGGGTCATCGCTTCTTTTACCGTGTCGTATGCGAGTATACAGTATCGTACCGTGTCGTAAGAAGCGACTAAGGTAATTAATGGTTGACAGATGAGCAGCAACGTCCTTCTTAAAATATCACTAAAAGTCAAACTGCGGTTGCCATCCCACCTGCCAAGTATGGTAACTACTAGTAAAATCTCCCAATGGTAAACTGTTATAAGGAACGGTCTCATTCTTTATGAAACCTATGTTCAACAGTGGACAAATGACGGCTGATATGGTGGTGACGATGATAATGATGCGTGGGATAAAAAGTGACAGCAACGAGTAGTTTCTTATTCTTTCTCATGCGTGTACCTACGAAAACGTATCTATCAGTAGACTTGTTTGCAAAACGAGAGTTAACATTTTGGAACGGGAAACGGAAGCGATTGAGAAAATAATCGAGATGTTATTTTAAATTTGCAATTCCGTTGAAGTTTATTTATTGGAATTTATAATAATCAAAGCTGACATCACTTTTTAAAGTTAACGGTAGTAAAAACAAGTTTTTAAATGTCGTAATCGTTTATTAAGTTAAATTAGAGCATTTAACTTAATTACAGCGGATTATTTCGAGAATATTGTGAGACTAGAATGTCAGTGACTGGCGTGGTCCATTATATTTGAAACAGTACAAGGGAAGTAATTACTGTACTTAAAAATCAGTAGGTACTCGTGTAATTGTAAAATGCATTGTGATCGTGAAATACAACTTGAGAATTTATCTGCATTTACTAAGATAAGGTATGCTTAAAAGCAAGTTAATTGATGATTTTTAACCGATATGAAAAAAGGGACGTCTCAAATATTCTTTTGATCATATCTTTGTGAGAACAGGTTATTTTTTAAATAGTAGGATGTAAGTACGTAATCATAAAAGTCTTTTGTAGTAAAAAAATACATAAAATTCTTATTTTAAAATTTTGTCTACGGTTCTAGAATAGGTTGGTTAGTTTCATGATTACCTATTACTTGCTGTATCAAACGTGTAACAATATATAAAATATATTAAGTTTTATGTTAGTATTTAATTTAAATTTCTTCAGTAGTTTTCGCATGAAAAAGTAACATACATCTTCACAAACTTTTACACTTAAATCAATAATAGGAAGTAAGATAATGTACTATATTAATACTGATTATATACTATATAAATAGAAATACATTTAAAATCTCAAGGAAAAATATATTTGCACAAGAATCCATAAAATATCAGTTAAATTGGGTTACTGATATTTGTTATTATTCCCAATTCAATTCATGCATAACCTTTATCATTAGCAGTACCTTTATCTCTGTGTAAATATTTTTTGTTTTTGTTTAATTTAGAACAACAATATAGAATTCCAGTCACAACGATCGCATCTCGTCTCATAATAATTCATAATTATATATTCTAATAATTTCATAATTTTACTAATATATTAAAGAGCGTTTGAATTCAAGGACATTAACTTTTGTACAGAAAAATAAAATAATGGTTCATGTATATATTATTAAATTTTATTATTTACAAAATTCTTCGTTTAATACTCATTAAACAATTTTTGTTGATTTATAGTATATTTTAGTATCATCATCATTTGAATGAATGAATGAAAAATGAAAATTTATTTAAATATTTCAGTCATTATCCGTCCACTGCTGGACATAGGCCAATATATTTTAGTATATTATAGTTATAATATTGGTAGCTCGATGAAGTATTTCCACTACAATTGTAAAGGCACATGTTTATGGGGATGTATGGGTAGATTTTTAATACTCATTCGCGCGATCATTTTAACATATATGATACTTTATATACTAATGCAAAGAAGGTGAAGCCGCAGTACATAGCTAGTACTAATATGTTTATTAACAGGCAATAGAACTATTCGATGAAATTAAAAAGGCCTAGTTTTATTAGACCAATCCAAGTATAAATTATGATGGACTAATTTGTATCTAAATATAGAAGAATAAATTAACGGAAGCCTAATGGAGTTTTGTCATGATAGTTTCTATCTATTTCGATAAACATAGTTTTAATTTATTATGTGAACTGTGGCTTTTGCGTGGAAGAATAAGGTATAATAAATCTTCAAAATTTCTGACAAGTCATGGAAAGGAACACCTTTAAATATCTATTATATCTAAATAACAATTTTAAAAATTGTACATTGAATATAATAAAATCATTATATTTGGTTGTTATTTAAATTTACCTTATGTTTACTATTATTATATATTTACATTTTATATTCCTTCATATAATATTTGTTATATTCTTATTATATTATTATTATTTGGCATTCTAATGAAAAGTCAGTATATTGCATTAAAAATAATATAATACTATACTATATCCAATTTTACTACAAATGTGAGAATTTGTAAAGATGTTTATATGTTTAAACGACTGAATGGATTTGAATAAATTCAAATTTAAATTTTAAGATTAGGTAGGATAAAGCTGCGGGAAACAGCTAGTATAAAACATTATGAGTACTTAAATCTATCAATATTTAATAACCGTCTGAACAACAAGACTATAAAAAGTTGGGTGGATTAAATAATAACCAAGCTAATCTAAAATTTAAAATTCCTAAATAGAAACGACCAAGAATCGAATTTGGGACCTCATTTACGCAAACCAACGTGGCTATGCAAAGTGGCAGGTACGTTGCACGAAGGTTGTAAATTCAATTATTGATCTTATTGTGCCTAGTTTCTTTAAATAGGATTATCATCATAACAACCGTTATCTGTCCCCTGTTGAACATAGGCCTCCTCCATAGACTACCATAAGGAACAAAACCATTTCTTATTGCAGTTTACCATTGGGGGAGGTAAGTAGTTAACACGCTTGACAGGCGGATCGGCAACCGCAGTTTGGCTTTTGATGACGTTTTAAGAGAGACGCTGTTGACTATCCCTTGACGGTTATGTGTATTACAAGTTAATAAAAAAAAGGAGAATAGCAGTTCAGGAAAAGATCGAGTTTCCCTAGATACTACATATATCTCTGACCTTGCTATTTGTTCAATCGTAGGATATGACATCAAGAGTACCGCTTTCAGATTCAATTTTTATCTTAAACTAAATTCATTTATCGATGACTTACATGTTTTAGATTGTGTGAGTAATAAGCTTACAGTCTTTGGCAATTGTCTGCTTTATTGGATATACTAGTTTAAAGATACCACTTTAATCTTTTGGTGTAATTGTTTTGCCTGACAGTAGCATTTTATGCCGAGTTTCTTTGGCAGTGAGGATCGAGTGTTGCATTCATTTTTATACTTTATAAGTCGTATGTATTTCACTTTTGCGAATTATAATATTTCGGACAATTTATGACCTATTTGATCATACCAAGTTAGTACGATATCTCTTGCATTATCCCATTTTTATGTCTGTTTAATCACTATGCCATCTGATATTGTTTTACTGTACAATACAAAGATCGTTGTTGTGACCTTCTAGTAAATGATATCACCTGTATTAGAAGGTCACGCTCTTCCATAACCATGAAAATACAAATCATAGTAGGTACCATAAAATGAAAAATGAAACATGTTATACGATGATGGCGCTACTGATGTTTTATATTTTTAGGTTCAACCTGCAATTATTTAAACATTAAGTATATTATTATCAACTTACCCGATGTTGGAAAGACTTGTATTGCTGGCAGTGAGCGAATCTGGCGCGCTCTTCCCCTGCGCCATTGCCGCGAGCTGTCGGTCCAGCATGTTGTTTTGTTCAAGCAGTTGACTCCATTGGCGTATCGCTGTCTTGGATGAGGATAACTCCTGACGTAGCTGCCTTTCGTCCAACGAGTTTAGTCCACTGCGTAGGGAGCTATCCAGCCTGAATAATTTTAATTTACAATCAAGATGCATACCTTGATGTACTTCTAAGCAACTTTTAGAATCTGTACCGAATTAATGTAAATTAATGCGTGTGTATTACTTGCTGAGAGAACTACATTTAGTTTAATTATGCAATATTTAAGTAGGTGTTGTTTAGAACAAAACTATAATACAACATTCAAAAACAAGTTTAATATTACTTTGTAAACGTACGTATTTAACTTCACACCGCATAATATCTATAAAGGCAAAACATAAAATTTTCATAATATCCACTAGGTATTTGTATTTTTTTATTTGTCTAATAACTGTAGCATAAATATGAAGAAAATTCCACACTAAGAAATGAAAACTATGTTTTAAAGAAGGTATTAAATATGAACGTGAATGATGTAAAGAAGAGGTTTATAGAAGAGAAGGTAGATAAACTGTGAGAAAGATGACATGCATCAAGAGAAGAGAACTCAGGTATGACAGCTGAAAGAAATTTGTGTAAAAGGAAGTCATTCTTAGTTAGTAGTTAAGAAGACTAAGTAGAATATACGTACTGCGCTGACCTCATATCAATGAAAAAAAGCAAGGCAATGTTTATCTAAAAATTGACAAATACCTTTCAATATAATCATCAACGCTTTGTAGACTGGTGATGGATTGCGCTAGGTCATTGTCCATCATGAGGTCATCAGATGCAAGACTTGACAGCGTGTCCAAGGAAGGGGTGCGTTCTGTTGCGCCGTTACGGATACCGCATACTGACACAAAAATAAAAGCACAAAATTAGATCACAAATTTGGATGTACACAACAGTTTGGGTTTTATACTACTCTATTGGCAGTTGGCTAATAAGCATACGGCCTATCTGATGATAATCGACCCTTTTGAGACTTTATTACGCCCTTTCTTTTTAGGTAGTTTTTATTCAAAATTATTCACCAATTCTAATGATAATTATTATTGCAATCAATTCTGGATTCGCATTGATCTCTTATTAATTTTGTTATAAATTTAATCATAAATAAAATAAAATATTACTCATTATTGTCGTCGATAATTTCGTATTTTTTATGTACTTGTCTAATTAATATAGTAATATGTATATAATTAAGTAAGTGTAGTTATACTCACATTTTCGGTTTCTTTGTGCAAGCGGACTTGATGTAATTCGTTCCCTTGACCTCCTTAACTGTCTGTTAACTTCAGAATCAACCGCTTTACTGGATGGGCTACCGTCCGTGTTTTCTAAATTAAATTAAATTATATGTATATGTTGTATTGATTTTGCACTAAATTAATTTTTGTAAACTTTGTTGAATTCATATAATTTTCAGTAAAATCTTAAAAAAAGTAAAAGTAAACTAATGGTAGATTCTTTTAATTGCTATAAAAAGCAGATAATAAAAATAAATACACTTGAAATTATATCATTAATAATATGTTTGTAATATGTTTATATTTTGTAAATATTTTATTTTGATGATTTTTTCTCAATAAAAACATATTCATATTCCATAAATGGTGTTTATTTAATAAAATTCATATTTTTGTTAAATAAACACCATTTATGGATACTTTAAAAAAAATCAGTCCTTCTTTTAGTCTATGGTTTTCATTTTATACTTAATAATCCAGCATAAAAGCCATGTAGATGAATAAAATTTCAATTAAGTACAATAATTTTTTTTTTTAATATTTTAATCTGAAATCTTTGATATTAATATCACGCTGTTTCATTCCAATATATCTTTAATTTATGCCCTATTCTTATATATGAAACTTTATTGTCTCCGGATTTGGAAATTAAATATTTAATTTAAATAAATATAAATCTATCACTTCAATCACTCACTACGAAAAAGAAGTGCAGGCTGGTCTGCTATTTCATCATCGAAGAAGTCTCGTCCGTCGGATAACGAAAGTGATCCGGAAGCGTGTGTAGGTGTTCCTGGAGTTCCAGGGGATGCAGGAGATGCGTTTTTGCTTCCTTCCACACTACCACGTGTCACCTCACTGTGAATAATGTTACAATTCAAAAATGATTTCAATTGAAATGTTTTTTCACGACCTTGGTAAAAGTAAAATAATTCGTTGCAATATTCTCAGGTACACACATGAGGCCACATATTAATTTAAAAATTATAAACAGATATAATAATTAAACATATACATATTATATAGAACGTAAAATGTAATATATAACGGCAATGGAAAAATTATAAAAATATAGGAATAACATTTCGGTAAATGTTTTTAACATAACGAATAACCTGCGCCGCAATGCTTTTTTTTAACAAAGATTCTCAATAAATAAAAATATTTTTACATTGTGACCACAGTTCAGTTCTACTTTACTAATAAACACTATTGATATTCCATAGCTGTCCAGTTGTGGAACAAACTCCCTTCTTACATACAAGAGAGTCCCTCTATTACCTCTTTCAAGAAAAGGTTAAAATCACATTTTCTTTCCTTTTAGTAATATTTTTTTTTGTATTTTTCTAATTGAACTGTCAGATCTTAAAATCATTAAACTAAGTTTCTTATGTAAGTAGTATATTCATTTATTTTAACATTCATTATATAAGTAGGTAGGTATTATATGTATTTATAGTGTATGTATTTATGTAATACTTTATTATATATTTTATTTAACTGTATATTATAATATTATTTAACTGTATATTTGTTTATGTATTAATAGTTGTTGCACTTCAGCTGCCCGCTAACGAAATGCTTTCTTACTGTACTGGGTTAACGGGAAGAGATCTCTTATTACAATTATTACATATAAAATACATTATTTTATATGTATCTATGTATAAGATATATCCCTCTTTTGCACCTACACCTTAGATATATTGAGGACTTCTGTAACGTAGTGGTAAGTATTTTGCCACATTGCTTTTCGTAAGTAAAGTTCCGGGTTCGATTCTTGATTGACACAATTTAAGAAAAGTAACTTCTCTAAATTGACTTTGTTTTGAGTGTCCAAAATTTTGGTTTCTCAGTAATGAAGTAGATAGTGTAACTGTATGTCACTTTTTTATTGTATTGTTAGATAGATAGCAAAGAAACTTACTTCATTCCATTTACCGGCGCCATTGTTTCTCCGTCTACGCCATCTTGTAGTCCACCAATAGGTTCTGGAGACTTGGTCTTCGTATTTGCGGTCTGGTAGGCCGAGGAGATGGAAGGTGCATCTCTATCAGCTTGCAAATCATTATTGGAGTCACTAGTACTAGTGGAAGATATCAGACTGTCTGCAGGCGATGTCTCGTCATCAAGTAGGCTTTGGGTTGAAGTTTCTAGTGCGGACATGTCAAATTTGGAGTCTTCGAGTGTGAGAGTCAGGTTGTGATGGTCGCCACTTTGATTTGTGCATGTACTGGTCGTGCTATAGTTGGAACTTGTCATCGATCCTAAAATAAAATTTTATGTTTAGATAAACAGAGAATATATTATAATAATAATAACTGTCTTTAATAAATAACATAATATCTCAGTGGATAGTTAAATAATTTCCTTTGACTTAAATATTTATAAAATAGTTACAATATAACGAAATACAATATCAAAATACAATACAATATTAATTTGTTGCATCAGGAATTTAATTCTATTTTTAACTGTTTACCGTATGGCAAGAAAACCAGGAACCATCGCCTAGATCATAAACATGAATAGCATAATTTGCATCACAGAATATACTATGAGAATTTTAACGTCTCATCTCGGAGTATACCTCACGTTATACGTCACCATCCCTAAGAACTAAGGTGTTATACCTCTGAACGTAGTAATTTCACTGCCATATCTCACCCTTAAAACCAAATCTCAAGATATTCAAATCATAAGGGTTTCTAACGCATAAGTGATATGATCTCTGGTGTGCAACAATCCATGAGTTTCTGATCACTACTCGGACCTTATTATTAATTGGTGTCCTAAAGAAAAGCAGTATTTATAGAAAACGTATAGTATCAGAACAACTGACCCATCATAGTGCCTCGTAGCGAGTCGTGCTGGTTCAGGGTTATTGATTTCATTAAAAGTGGATGCGGCACCGGTGGCTCGTCTAATATGACAATAGTTTTCTTCGGTATATCCATTTCAGCTTTTTGATTCTCTTTTGCGTCAAATTTAGATTTTTCGTCTTCACAGCTGGAAACGCTTAATGCAATGGATACGTCGTCTTGCGATCTGAAACAAATGATATGATAAAAAACTCAGTCTTTGTAATATCCACTTATTATAACATACAGGTGAAATTGAAATAATTATCAATTATTTTAAGGGCATGTTCTATAACTAATGAAACTAAAGAATTTATTTTTGAACGTACATAAAAATACGACAAAAATTGTAGCTTTCAAAATTAATTTGATTGCTAACAACATAAAAAGAAAGATATAAATTGATAATGATATCGATTTTAATTTCTATATTTGATATTTCTTGTTCAGTTGCCTTTGCTTTTTGCGAAGATAACTTTTATGTTTCATATTATTTTCTAGATATATTACACGGCTTCATTTGCGTGAATCGGTACACAAAGTAACTATGTGCTAAGTTAGGAGATAACTTACCTGTCTATGAAATTTCATTCAAATCCGTTGAGAACTTTTTGTGTAAAAGGGTAACAAACATCTATTCATCCTTCCATCGTTACAAATTTTCTGTACAAGTAAATTACTTACCTAGTGGCCATAGCTTCCCCTGCGGCGTGACTCTGCCAAGCGCTGCTATTTCCAAAGTGGCTCTCTTCACTTTTACATGACGGACTTGATTCCTTACTAGAGCTCACTGTGGTTGGAGAGCCCACACCGCTCAAAGATTTTACGAACGAATTCTGAGAGAGAAATAAGCATAAAGTAAATTATACATAGTAAAATACGCTTTAAAAATTTGGTAAAATTTTATTAATAGATAATATATTGCGTGTTACATTTGGGTTGATACCACCGTCTTACATCTGTTATAAAGCAGCAAATGATCATTAAAATATATTAATATTAGTAGGTGACTCGATTACGGTTTGGGTGAAATGGTATTAGTAAGTAGAGCGAGAGATTAAAAAAATCTCTCATATGTGAGAAATATATCTCAGAGTGCTAACCATGAAATGTTCTCCGAACTTTTAGGTCCGAACGAAACACAAATTTGACGTTAATATTACATAATACATACTGTTTAAAAATGTTAAAATATCATTCCTTTGGATTTGTAATGGTAGGATACAAATCCTGAATGATGAACGAAATGGTAATTTCTATTTACTGGGCCGATATATGAGTATATTGCATAAATCACCTGTTTATTCAATTTTTCAGGCTGCGCCCTGTCAAGCACGAATTTCTCTTCGTCTTTGTACTCCACATTAGTTAAAATTCTGGTCGGCCTCGACCTTGTCCTATACCGGTCCAGGGTTGACATCGGTGAATTATTTCTCTGCGAGGACTCAGCTACTGCACTCGGTTTAGGAAGAATGGGCGAAGGAGGCTTGTACGTTGGTACAGGAGTCTCATATTCTGGTGTGAGTTCGTCGTCAAATGAGCTTGGTAGCTTTGGTAAGGGTATCACTGCGTGGCCAGTCACAACGGCTTCATCTGTAACAATAATGTAAGATGTTTATTTAGTACGAAATTATTAGTTTAAAGAAATATGTTTTAAAGAAAATCGTTTAAGTATAATTGAGTAGGACAATGAGGTTTTTTCATGATATATTTAAAAGAAAATGTGAGATTATATTTGAAATATATCATTTATTAAAAGAGTCAAGCGAATGCAGAGAAAGTAAAAGAAAACAATTTGTAGGGCAAGGAAAAAGTTCCATTCTGTTTAATTTGCAATCAATTATGCATTATATTATTATCTGTACAATAATAATTTTAATTACAATATTGAAATAACTTACGATTAGAATTAAAAAGAGAAAATGTCGCATCTATATGTGTAAATTATGTTTTAGTATAAGATTTTAAAAAAATGCGTCATAAATCGGCTCGTTTTATAATATAAAAAACAATTTTGCTTATGAGTAAAGTCCTATATTTAAAATAAAAATTACCTGAAACAATACAACCGACATTCGGGACAAACGTGCCGAATGAGAGCCATCTATTTTTATATACTTAGTGGACTACCTTGGTGGTGTACAGGTGTAGCTACCGGCTCATTCGGATTTTTACAGATTAGAGATTATTCTTTAATGTTAACTCCAAAAATATCTTAATCTAGCCGTTTATCTTTTTTATTGGTTTGGACCGTACTAACGTGTGTGTATGTATATATTTCAAAACAAGTACCGATATTTTGGTCCGCAAGTTGCCAAGACGAAGTATTTAAAAACATATAGCCAGTATTACTCGAGATGATGTACGAATTCCAACTTTACCTCATACATTCAAATCTATTCAGCCATTAGAAGTTTTGGAATAAACTATCTTATTTTATATGTAATATCTTATATCTCATGTTTCAAATAATTAATATGTAAATATATACATACACTTTATATAAATAGAGTGTCGTCATACAAATACTTTGAAAAAAAGGGTCCATTTTTCACATAATTTTGTGTTCCTTTATTAGTTCTGTCTTACAATTTTTGCACCTTTTTAATGATATAATGATTTAATGAATAGATACGTCAAGATACGTTGTGCGCGTAAATATATAAAACAGTAGTAAAAGAAAACTAGTCCGCTAATTTGACAATTAGCTGACAAAAAGTTGATCCGGTTTTGAAACTCGAGTCTCTATTTATATAATCTAAGATATAATGAACTCTAAATACATTATTAGAATCCTTTTTTGACAGTCGTATAAAAAGGTATAATATTATTTAATATATACATATATAGGGCTATTAATATTTTTTTTAGCTTACCCATAATGTCAAGATCAGCGACTTGTAGTTCTCTCAGATGGAAACTGTGAGAACCTTTCATCACCATCTCGAGGTTCCGAGGGCGATGACGCGAGTGTGGGGAGCCCTCCCCGCCATTTCCACCTTCACCACCAGTCCACACACCAGAGTCAGTTGACACTGCAGAACCTGCACCTTCATAATGTTCAAAAAATGCTTTTTATTATCATTTCTTTATGTTCTAGTGCACTTAAATGTATTTACGGTTCCTACAATTTTACTATTAGATAATAATCATTTTAAAATTTAGTTTTGGAAACTACTTAATCATTAAAGTCAACGGTACCTACATATAATCTAAGACGTTTCACATAAATACATACACATATAAATGACTACAATGTCATTCGCATTTTTTATGTCATGGGCCATCTGAATTCTACATTCCATGTACCTACTGGTAAAAGATAAAAATAAAAAAATATCTTACTGTACAACAAACTTTGTCATTCCCGGGCGTTTTATAAGTGTCGCTTAATAAATTGTATAGCATCACATTACAACACCTTGGACTATGTCTAATCGTTGAGGAAGTTTAGTTACGTATCTCTACTTTCAACAGATACATTTGTAAGATTAGTAAGTGATCATTTATGTTTTCATTGACGATCAGGGTACATTTCTTATGTATTATTATCTGATTATATTATGTAATTAGGTAATTTGTTGATGAAAATCTCATTTACAAATTATATCTATATGAAGAAAGGTATTGACACTTCCGATCTGTAAATATTTGTAACTTGAAATTAACAATAGGTATAATTATTTAATTAGATTGTTAATTTTAAAAATTAATTTTCAGTAGTATTTTTTAACAACATTTAGAACTATTTAGAATTTAAAAAAAATTAAAAGAGCTCATCAATAAGTATATTTGTATAAAGATGATTTTTAGTCTATTCTACTATACAGATATTTTTTTTATACAACTTAGAATGGCAAACAAGCTTACGGCCCACCTGATGTAAAGTGGTAACCGTCGCCTATAGACATGAGCAGTACCATGGACATATTTTGATTAAGTATAAAATAAAAAATACATAGCCGCTAAATATACATAGGTATATTCGGTATATAGTTTTTATTTTTCGGTATAATAAATTTGTGACAGATATACATTATCGTAATGGGGTTTACGATGTAATGGGATCGTAATGGGAACTCGTACATTTTTTCTTTTAAAGAAAAAGTCTTTTTCATTTCAATATATATAAGAGTTTAAAATATATTTGAAAATATAAGCAATACCAACAATATATTGAAATTTAAAATGAAACAGCAAAAGAAAATAAAAATATTAAAGGCAATAAAAAAAAAAAAAACAAAAGAAATGCGATTTTAGATTTTGTTTTAAAAATTAGTTAGTTCAATATCGTACTACTATCATGAATAAATCGATGGATTTTAATGAAAATTGGAAATTTTTTTGTTTTAGTTTTTAGTATTACTTATTTCCTATATTCGAGATTACCACATAGAACACATTTCAATTCATGCATGGATGCGGGCAAACCTTTCAGGTACAAATGGTATTGGATAAAATTTAAAATTGTTGTTAAATCAAATCTTATCTATATTATAAATATAAAGGTTTGAATAAGTATGTGTTTGTTACTTTGCATGCTTAAATAGCTGAATGGATTTGAATGAAATTTAGTAGACACATAATTATAAGAAAACAATTATATTAGATGCTATTTCAAATGGGCAAAACCGAGAAATACGGATAGTATAAAAATGAAACAGTACCTTCTCTCCATCCTTCTGAGCCACCCGCCTTCCTTGTATTATTAACCACCTGCGAACGATAAACACTGATGGTAGGCATTTTCTTTCACGAAACGAAACTTTCACTTCGGACTATTATTATGTAAAATGCATATAAAAACAATATTGACCATGTCGCGGACCGAACTGCATACCCAGAATGAACTACGGACAGGAACACTTGGTTACGGCAGCCAATGTCGCAATGTCCCGTAGTTCAGACAATATAAAAATAGCCTACCTTAATACACGACACTTACTACTTACAATACGTCCCAAGATAAATTCTAATCACTTGTTCCGAACGCAAATATTTTATTTTTATTTTGAAGTAGGTATATAATAAATTATATTTTGTTATTACAAATGTTAATAAAAATATAAGAGTTATTTAGAAATGCACGTCATGTCACGGTCTAAAACTAAAGAAAAATGTAAGTATAATTAATGTAGTCTTTTAATTAAGACGTTGCCTTGTAAAATAGGAAAGTGTGCGTACTACAATCTCTTTCATCGAAAAGCAGTAGAGTATAATGGCACGTTGAATGTTCAAAGTATAGAATATCTAGTTTTGTAATTCAAATTAATGCTATTTTTAGAAATATTATAGATACAATTTTTACTTTATTTATCCCTGCTTATTTGATTAGAATTATTTTGTTTAATTCCGTTACTATTATTAACTAGTTTAATAAAAAACCCTATATATCTTTTTCGCACATTATATTTATATATTAATTAAAAAACATAATTAAATAATAGGATTATAATAATTTAAACTTAATTAGAAAGATATTTAGATGTAAAAAAAAAAAACAAATAAAACACTTAAGATTTATCTTGGGGTGCCTAATATCGTATATACTTATTTTAAATGCACAGTGCAGCAGTGATATTTTCGGCAAACGGCGGCCGGCTTCCCAATCGTCTTTCTAAACTAAAATAAACGAACTGTGACCTACATATCGGAACATAGAAAAAGCTATTTTGTTAGATTTATTTAAAGTTGAATATTAGTTGTGAAATATCTACATTATTGTGTTATTTTAATGAGCCACAATAAACTAAAGACGAAGAAAAATATAAATAACGATAGTAACGTGTGTAGGGATTTATTATTGCATGCAGTTTACTAAATAGGTTGTCTGTAAGAGATTGCTTTTAGCGATAAGGCCGCTATATGCACATTCTGTATAAATACTCCTTATATACATCTCTATTGTACGTAATAAAGAATTTGTTATTATTATTAAATAATAAAATCTCACAATTGCAGTAAGTACGGGTAATACAGTATTCTAAATTAACTTATTACTTTTTATAAAATATATTTATACTGAAAAGTTTCCTAAACAATAATTGAAATTACTTCGATGTCTGTTAAAAATATTTTCTACACAATTGCAAGGGAGATAGAATACTACACTGGACCCGCGAACCCGCGAATTTTATAACTCGATTCGAGCCTTATTTAGATCGTAATATTGGCCTGAAAAGGTGACTGATAGATGAAGGTGGTGATAAAAGCCAGCTACATACAGCTGAGATACTAATGTTGACACTATCCGACAATGTTTGAAAGTAGCTATAACGAAGAAGTTAAGAAACAATTATTTTCCTTAGTTTAGGCATATAATATGTAAAAGTATACATGTGGATAGACAGTAGAATAAAAATAAGGCTTAAAGAGAAATGGATGGACTATATGAAAGATGACAAAATCGGAAAGAAAATGAATACTAAAATAGTTATTAGTACTAATATAGTTAATAGTTATTTTAGTATTCATTTTCTTAATAGAAAATAGATATTATTGAATGAATGAATGGTTTATTTTCTCTTCACAAATGGTAGAAGAAATGACACGACGCGAACTCTAAATAATCTGAGATATGGGCTTTCTATTCTGATTATTATGATGGAGTCAATAATTTTTAAATTTTACCTGTTTAGCAGTTTTAGTATCGATGTTTTTAATAGACGGATACTGCGGCCGTGGCAACTGGTTAGTTTGGAAGGTGTACTTCCCAGGAGGTTTTTGTATATCTGACAGAGCTTGACTCCGAGGCGCAGTTCCACCACGACCCATGTTTTGTTCTCCTGACCGTGATGGAGGCTTAGCCCGACCATCCTGCTGAAAGTATTTTAGTATTTGCAAATAAATCCATAAAATATAGGAATAATCACCAACTACGGGATGGGGTTCTTTAAAAAAGGGATAAAGAAGCTTCTTCAGGGTCAACAACACGCACGTAATGCCTGGTATTGTAGACGTTCGTAGGCTACGGTAACCGCTTACTATCAGGTGGGCCGTATGCTAGTTTGCCAGTAGTATACGGAAAAAACTGTCCATTGCAGAACATGGGCCTTCTTCGTAAAGGCACCCATGTTTCCTAGTAGTTGTCTTGTACCTTGTACCAAATTTTGTTCAAATCCGTTTAGTAGTTTTTGAGGGAAACAGTAACAAATATCCGTCCCACCATTCATTGTTATAAACTTTCGCATTTATTATGTAATAGAATGTATTAACTACTATACAAGTTAAAACTATTGCAAATATGATAAAAATGCTCAGTACTACTTTTGTACTGTTTAGTTGTTCTTACTTTTGTCTACTTAACCCTTCAATTATTGTAAGAATACATGGTGAAGTCGAAATCGTTAGCGTTCTTTGAAAGGAATATATACTAGCAAGGCTAAACATTTTCACTAAAAACACACGGATTCAAAAGACAAATAAATTCTGAGCCTCTCACATGGTGCGTTCAACCTTTGATTTTAAAATGGGACTCTCAAAGGTTTTGTCATTTTAGAACTTTTAATTCATAATATTTCTATCTTAATATGTTCTATAGCAGAGGTTCCTACATTTTTAAGATAACGGAACACAACAAAATATCTTTTTTTTAAGGAATATGGAATTCCTCAAAAGATTATATATTAAAGACATTGTAATTTAAATAGGAACAAAAACTTTCATTAAAAATATTTTCAAGTAAAACTTTTTATTCTTTAAGTCTTGATGTGAAGGATAAACCTGTTTCGCAGTTTTATTAATAATTTCTTTATAATTGAGTATTATCGTATGTTCCACAGTTGTATGTGCATATTTGGAGTAGCAACCAATCTCGATCTGAAAGAATTCTCGCGCCAACTAACTACCTACTTACATAACTGTAATGAATTCTTCTCAGCCCATATTTTAGACATGGTGAAAACCCTGTGACTTTTCTACGAAACCCCAAGGTTCTGTAGAACCCATTTTAGAAATACCTGTTCCATATTGTATATAGTATAAGTATCTATATTGTATAGACTCTTAGTTTTATATACCGCTAATGATTTCGATTTTGCCCTGTACCTACGAATATACTCTATTTTTCTATTGGTTGATAGTAGTTTTTTTTCCTTTTTATCAATATAAAGTTTATGATAGTCATTTTATCCATTCACCTTTCTGTTGTAAACTCAATTTTTATTTGATAAAAAACAACAGCTGTGTTTCTTGCCCGTTCTTCTCAGCTAAAATTATATTCCGAACTGGGCGGTAGACTTATAAAAAAAATGCTTATAATTAAGTTCACTTGAATGAACAATATTTTTTGTTTTATTTTGTAAATAAAAGTTACCTGCACGGAGTATTGTTGCGGTTGATACGTCAGTATTACCGTTTGCTTGGTAACCGTCTTGGGTACTCCAGCGGCCCCCACGATAGTAGTCTGACCCGTGGACGACACTTGTGTCGCAACCAGCGGTAGTTGATTAGCGTAATTTGTACTTGTAGTTTTCTTATCTGAAACATATTATTAACCAATATCACGATTACCTTTTAAGAATTAAGTGGGTTAATTAAATAGTATGGGCGCAGTATATTATGACTATTAATTTTGTCAGTACTTTCTATACGAGTAATAAAAGCAGCTGTTTACAAATATGTGTGTCTATTTGGTAAAACAATCTTTTTTTCTAATCATTTAACTCCATTATTTGAAATATTAAATCTACACATGTCTGAGTGGACTCTCCGGGATGGCAACATGCCCGACAGATGTCCTCAGTGCCATCCTTCAGAATGTGCTTTCGGTGATTGTTTGTCTTAACCATCTGATCCTGTATTGCACATACAAAACCCTCGGTCTCTCCGAAGAGATCACCGAACTGTAGCCAGTGCACGGAGGTCTTCGTGTTGACGTACGGCCCGTGAAGAGCTTTGAAGAACCTTCCGTGCAACTCCTTCTCTTTCCATATTATTATTATTCCATTATTAATATTAACATGTTATAGTATTATTTTTATGTTATATTTTTATTAACATGTAAATCTGTTTTATATATATATATATATATATATATATATATATATATATATATATATATATATATATATATATATATATATATATATATATATATATATATATATATATATATATAAATATGTATATATATATATATTTTGACACCCCGCTTTTGTCTCGTAATATTAGTAATAATAAACTAATTAATCGATTGAATAAATTGTTACTAATTACATTTAGAGAGTGTTTCTGTGATTGTTTCAACAGAGCTTGGTTACCTTTTCATTAAGTATTGAAACGAACATAATGATTACATTATAGGTATAGAATTGATTTGTATTTAAACATCAGATAACAATAGTGCTTACCTAATGCATTGTTGTTGATGGCCGTTTCCTTATCCTTAGCGGTGAGGCCGAACGCGTGTTCGGCGGCGAGGCTCACGTCGCCCACCTTTGCCGTTTTGGTGTGCGGCTGCCTGAAACCGAACCTACCGAATGACACAACTTCTGTCATTTACATTTGTTACTTGAAACGAACTTATAACTTAATAATTAAGATTGAGTTTAATAAAAAAAACGAAATCAATTGTGGCAAAACCAGTTATTTTGATTTAAAAATTAATTACTGTGAGAGCAATCTGTAAATATATCTTTACAGACAAAAAAAAAAAAAAAAAAAACAGTAAAAACAGTAAAAGTAACAGTTTTGAAAAAATATTTTAGATATTCAACAACCTATCTATATTTCTTACTGTTGCCATTACACTTACTCGTATGTATACTTTTTAGATACACATAATTCAATAACTAATAGAAATGTTCAATACAACTGATTATTGGGGTAAAATCAGGATATTTATTCTATATTGAATTGTATATTACCAGAGGGAGACTTTGTACAAAAGTCGATTGCTTGGGTACCTCTGTCCCATTTGTGTTTCTACCGTGAAGCAGTTGTGTTTGCATGGCTGTGTTTCGGTTTGAAAGGTGGGATATGGCGTGAATTTACAGGGTACAGAGGAATAACACCTAAGTCCTCAGGAATGGCAACGCATGGGGGGTATAATGGGCGAAACAGTATACTCTGTTATGTCCATGGTTACTGCTCATGTCTATAGGAGACGATTACCACTTTCCATCAGGTGGGCTGTCACTTTGTTTGCCATTCTAAGTATATAATATATATATATATATATATATATAATATATATATATATATATGTAATATTAATAAGATTACTTAAATGTTTATGCTCCTACAAAAATGTGTTAGCAATATTGTGTAAGTGTGAGTTAAGAAATATTCTACTCAAGGCGCTTGCTGTTACGGTTAATCTGTCGTGTTATCCATCGACTGTATAATTTTGCTTATCTTACTACTGAAACTATAGGAATCGAAGGTCTAATAACATGATATAAAATTTAGAAGCCTGTACCTGTGAAGGCAAAAATAACTCCGTAGTTGTATAACGTTTCTGTATTAATTTCGGATCATCTGAATATCTTTTCTTTTTATACGTAGCCAAATAAAATCTATTCAACAATATATCATATATGTACAATAATGTGTAATAATGTATGTAAGAACCTTGATATCTTCCAACAATATTATAATAAGAGTGTTTTATTAATTTAAATTTATAGTGGCTATTTTTTGTTGTAATAGTGAATTTTATGCAGAGTAGTTATTAGAGTGCAAATTTGATGCTAAGTATATTACATTTCCTTATTTACTAATCTCGCTATCAAGGACAAACCACATCTAATTTGGAACTGTGACGAGACTGGCTTGTCCTATGTATGCAATGATTTGCATTCTGTTACTTTGTTTAAATTCATAAATAAATATATCGGGTAAAATTAACTTTGTAGGAATCAATGACGATAAGAAGATACTTATACCTAGTTTAAAAAACATTTCCTCTACACTGACTTGAAACTAATCTATACTTTCGGTCGGTTGTACTGAACTAGAATAACTAGATAACCTTAAGTTCAAATTCTTTATTCCTACACTTTAATGACTTTAATGAACTACTCGTCTCGCAGCTCTCTTCTAGACAACAATCTGAATCTCAAATAAATTGATTATTTATTGGAGATTCAGATTTACAATATTTTCTATTTTAATAATATATATTTTAATAAAAACGTTTACTATTTCCTTGTCATGAATACTTTCTAATACTATTATCATGTAAATGTAATAGAGTCATAACTCTGAAAAATAAAGCTATTTTCCTTCCAAAAGTAATATTAATTGTCATTAATATTTCCTGTATTTTTTATGTTTTATATTTTTAGTAAAGTTTTATAAAATAAATGGCCAATAATAATAACAATGCCATAATTACCTATTTTTAGATGTTGACATGTTTTATTTTATTAATTTAGAATGAAAATAAAGAGATTGTTTGATATCTAATGACAAATATCGTACACTTAAGGTGACTGTCTACTTGTACCTATCTAGTGTATATGAAACTAAAAATGTCCATGTAAATAAAAAAGATTTAGTAATCCCGGGAATGTCCATTAGGTACATATCATCATAAAAATGTCTAAAATAAACATAAAACATTGTACGAGTAATTAATTAAAATGTTTTTATAAACGCTACTAAATTATTAGACAGAGCTACGGAAATGGCGTACAGGTTTTTATTACACTGTTAATTAAGTTTCAGGTAGTATTAAAAGTTAGTTGTACTTTTATCCAGACCGGATTGTTTGTACGGTTTTTTATATACTGTATGTACATGTACTTCCCATACTAGTAAAACATAATGAGTAGACGCTAGTAATGAGCAAAAATAGCTGCACAAATCATGTCGGTTACCTGTTTGTCCGTAATGGCTGTCCCGCGGCCTCCTTGCGGGGTCGCGCGAGGGGTGTCGACCGGCCCGACAACACCTCCTCTGCCCGCAGGTCTTCAGTAGAACCTGTCATAAGAATTCCTGTTAATGTGTACTTATTACAAACTGGCCTGTTTTGTCTATAACTTTAGTTCAAAGCTGGATTGCTATCTCAATTTAATCTGTAAAATTACCAGACTTTACGAATTTATAAATACTCACAAGATCCTATTAATATAATAATTGCGAAAGTTTGTAACTATAAATAGATAAATAAATAATGGTTGGATGTGTGTAACTCTTTCGCGTAGAAACTACTGAACAGATTTAAATGTAATTTGGTACACGGGTAGGTATACTAACTTAGCACATAGGACACTGTGTACGGATTCTCGCGGGCAGGGCCGAGGTATACAGTCTTATATAAATCTAGGGCATACATTACGTCTAGTACCTTAAAAAAGAGAAGGTTCTTGATACGACGACATTTTTATTTGTACTTAAACAATATCTTAAACTGCTCCAGAAAAAAATTTTTTTAAAAATAAAAATTATTTCGGTTATTCATTTATAATATTAGTACAAGTAATGTTATTATAAACGTCTACCCTGAAGCAGTTGATTCCATGGCTGAGTTTCAGTTTGAAGGATGGTATATGGCAGTGAATTTACAGGGTACAGAGGAATAACATTTGAGTCCTCAGGAATGGCAACGCATCGGAAGTAATATGGGCGAAACCGTATACTCTATTATATCCATGGTACTGCTCATATGTATAGGCGACGGTTACCACTTTCCATCAGGTGGGCCGTCAGCTTGTTTGCCATTATAAGTTTCATAAAAAAAAACACAATTCAAATTTTAACCATTTGAGACTGTTCGCTTCCACGAATCATGTCTGTTTCTCTTTATGAAAAAAAGACGTACTCAGTGCCGAAGACATAGAATCTTAGAGTTTTTATAATATATACCTACATTAAGTCTACCCACACGAAATCACTAACACAAACATCTCGAGACAGTGGAATCAGATATCTAGTGTTTTTTCTTAAACGTTAAAATTCCTTTATTCGACATTGACAATGTACTCGTATATAGAGTTTGGAAAATAGGTTAGATAAATTAGAAACAGATAGCCCTTTTCGTCGAATGTTTGGCGAAAACAATTACTTTTATCTCTTTCATGACGTAATATTAGTTGGCACTAGGTTAGTTAGTGATGTATAATGTATTACCTACTGGGGGAAAAGGATTGTTAGCAATGGAGTTTGACAGCCCCATTGCTAGCAATATACCTTATTAGGTCGACCTCCACGTGGTTCCTCCTGGAAACCATCGTGAACAATTCTTGTTGAATTCTAACTGGCCTACTTCATCCTCACCTATCATTCTTCACTGGTGCCCCGCCGGTGTATACCGATAGCGCGGGTGGGGTTACTATTCCATTATCATCCATTAAAAAAAAAAATTATTACCTACTATGTGCCTACTAACTAGCAATATAGCAATATATACTATTCGATTTTCAGCTTTAATAACTTAATTCCTATATTCCATTACGGTTACGGTACATGAGTAAGAGTCTTTCCCCATAAGAGGAGTAAAAATAGTCTACTATAAATAAAAGCTATATTTTATATTAGTTTATATATAGCTTAGTTACTAAATACGAGGTCTGTCCAGAAAGTTCGTTTTTTTATAAAAGTGTTCTGGAATATTAGAAAGAGGTTATTATAAACGTGGGGAGGCCATGTAAGCGCAGGACCCCTTCCTTATGTCCCTAACAATGCTTCAGTTCTGGTCTGACCGCCGTGCGGTGCGAACTGGCTTGTCACGCCATCTGTTAAGTTACCTCTTAACGAAACCCCGTCGGCATGGAGCCCGCTTCCGTTGAAGAGCAGCGCGTCGTAATCAAGTTTCTCTCGAAACTCGGCAAGAATGGCCGTGAAAAGCAAAGAGTGGAAGACATCCGGGGAACCACGAACAAAATATAATCAAGAAAATCCCGCTCAAATGTCAAGACAATGTTGATTGTTTTTTTCGATGTTCGGGGGATTGTCCATCAAGACAATCGTCCCTCCAGGCCAGACAGTTGATGGAAAATTCTACGTCGATGTGCTCAGACGCCTCAAAGTTCGTGTGGCACGAGTTCGTCCAGAATTGGCGCGAGAGGGGCGTTGGATTCTTCACCACGACAATGCCCCTGCCCACACCTCTCTTGTTGTCCGTGAGTTTTTGAGTAAAAATTCCATTACGGTGACCGAACACCCCCCCGATTCGCCGGATTTGGCCCCGTGTGACTTCTTCTTGTTCCCAAAAACCAAATTGGTACTTCGGGGGCGGCATTTGGGGGACATAAATGAGAAAAAAAACCTACGACGGGGCAGCTGAGAAACCTACAATATATACTTTCAAGGAGCCTTCTCACAGTGGAAACGGCGTATGGCACAAGTGCATTATGTCACAGGGGGAGTACTTTGAAGGGGATAAAATTGATTTACCTGAATAATTGTAAAATAAAATTTTTAAAAAACTTTTATATACTTTCCGGACAAACCTCGTATAATGAGCTTCAATTTTTATTTATCAATTTTTTTCCTTAACAAATATAAAATGAAACAAAATTTGCATGAACGTTATAAATAAAAAAAAAAAAATTAAATTTTTTAGTCGAAATATGAAAATATAATACAAAATGTCTTAAATATGTCTTAATATTTTTTGATCTTAGGTATTCACAATAAAATACCTATTCATGAAGTTGTATTGCATGATAAAATAACTGTTTCCCGGGCAATTAATACAATTTTGCTGTCTATAAACGAACAGTTATCTGTACAGTTCATTTTAATAAATAAATTTTAATTGGTAGTTTTATACGTAACTTTTTTAATTTGTAGAATGTCTAGATATAGATCTAGTAATTATATAAGTATGAATACGAAATTGGACATAATTGGTTCGAAAAAAAAAACACGTAAAGGTAAATAACCACACCATAACCACAGGTAAAAAGAACTACAACAATTCACCAACGCCCATTGCTGGTAATAACCAAAAATAGACGTTGAGAAAACCAAATTCGGGTTTCGCTTGCAAAGATATATAACTACAGATTAATATCAAAATATCTCTCATCCTGTTAAGAAAATGTTCTCCGAGTAAAACCGAATATTTTCCCTAATCATTGGTCAAAAAACAACTAAAATAGTTGAACTACTAGTACTATGATAAATTGACAGTTGCACACACCGTTCTAATTTAAAGTTATTAACGAATTATTAGTTAGTATATTAAATAATAGGATGCAGGTAGTAGGCGGTTGCCGTCGGAGATGTGGTGAGTGCGAAAGCGAACCCATGTTACCGACATATGGCACCACGAGGGTATATCGTCTGGTTTTTGGTGGGTACACCCCCACCTTACGGGGGGATTCCCACAGTACCCATTCACCTCCCACAATGTGTATGGGTCTGCATAAAGCATTTTCCAGACGTTAAAAAAAAAAAAGGTAGTAGGTGGTTAACATCTGATATGATGATGATGATATTAAATAAAATGATATCTTTAACCTAAGCAAATCTGTTCTTTAGATTTGTTAATCTTTGAATAATTGAAATACAGTATTATTACAATAATAATCAGAAGCCATTAATCTAAACAACCTAATTTTCCGGCATGATGAACAAATTCCTAACGGATAATGTAAGATTCACTGCCTGATAATAAATGCAGTAACGAGTAGTGAATGTTATTCGTATCATATTATAAATGTCTACTGATTAATTAAATGAAGAAATTATAAATTAGCAAAATTTTTTGACATCGGTTGAGTGGCATTTGACCATGATATTGACCATGATCACTATGATATAAAATACTTATTTCCAATACAGTGGTTTCACTAGATATATACCTTTCACAATGTTAGAATACTTATATTTAACCATTATTACTTTATTATGCAACGAACTGAAAAACGGGCATAATTAAAACATCCAATCATTCACGTTTTCGTTATTATGTATTAAGATATTTGACGCGATTTGCCATGACTTCATCGCAAATCGATGGTATACAATCTGTTCAGGTTTATGCAGTTAAATCCATAAATTTATATGGAAACATTAACAATAAAGGTATATAACAATACCATAAAGGTAACAATAATAAACCTATAAGTTAACTTACCGCCATTTCCATTTTTATCGTGCGGTTTTTGCTTCCTTCTGGCGTTGTCGTCAGCGCGCGAGGTGCTGGCCGGGCGTCGCCTGAAGCCGAAAGAAGTTGCTACCCCGCGGCTTGGCTTGCTATTCCCGTTACCGACACTCTTGTCTCTTTTCTTTGCACCCTTAGATTCAGAGTGACCCTGAAAAAAAAAGGGACTTATAAGGGACAATAAAGAATATATATAGATTGCAAACCTTCTTTGATAGCCATATATTATTTTTATTTTATCAGTTCTTCTTTTGTTTTTTCATTGCATAATTTTCTATTAAAATATACGGAAGCAATTTATTATTACAAGATAATTATTTATTTTCTAGCAGCCCGTCCTGGCGTCTCACGGGTGGACATTTTTACATTTTAAAAAGTGACCATTAAGGCTGCACACGCGCCGGTATCTTAAAAATAAAGTAACTTCTATCGTTTTCCCATCATTTCCCTTCACTGCTCTGCTCCTATTGATCGTAGCGTGATGAAAAGTATACTATAACCTGCCCAGGAGTATGAAGAATAATTGTACCAAGGTTAAAATTCGTCGAGTAGTTTTTGTTTCTATAACGAATATACAGACAGACAGACAAAAAATTTACTGATTGCATTTTTGGTATCAGTATCGATCACTAATTATCCCCTGATAGTTATTTTGGAAATATGTTTCATGTACAGAATTGACATCTCTACAGATTTATTATAAGTATAAATTATTCATCATAAAACCGAGAAATCCGTCATACTCCCTAACACTATTCAAGAATATTCTTCAAACTCTAACTCTATATTCATTTACATATTTTACTATATAAAAATGATTCCAATTTTGACAATATATTAACACCAAAGTAATCTTTGGATCAAAAAGAATTATCACAGACGCTTAAAATAACTTAGTTCAACTAAGAACTTCATCCTATTATTAAGTCTTATTTAAAAAAAAGGTCTTTATATGTAGAGAATAATCCTTGGAACTCCTAAAGAAACTAAAACCTCTTTCATTTTATCGTATCTCTTATATTCATATTTTATTTATGTTACATTTTCTATGTAAATCCCTACACAAATGGAAAGTATTTTTATAAGTAAAGGAGAAAGTATATAAATATATACTACTAGTATACATTTATAAATAGAATTAATACCGATCAATACGCTCTAATGCCCTTTTAAATAAAATAAATCATGCGTTCAATTAAACATCAATCAAACGTAAATTAAATATTGACTTCTGACAGAATTGGCTTCAGATATATCTACACCTATATTTCAATAAACCATTGTAGAGTTATAATTGGTTTATTTAATTAACAATGCAATAAGTCGGAAATAATTAGTTTCTGTAAGTAGAACTGTAACAACAGACAACTTCTGCTTCGCAATAGCACCCACCATATCTTCGCTTTCCAAAATCAAGATAACTAATTCGGACATGCATTCCATGTAGACATTATGAAATATAAGTGAACACGCAAAAAGAATTATTACACTTTCATTTAATGATTTTATTCTTTTTACTTTTTACAAATTTGTCATCATAATAACCTATCATCGTCACACTGATGGACATAGGTCCCTCCCTTTAAAAAGAGGATATTAGTGTAATACTCGCATTATCAGGTTTCATAGGTGATATAGTATAGAAATTTCTTTCGAGTGTATTGGCATGATGTGCTTTGTTCCCACAGTCGCCTCGTATGATATTAAGTTCCAGAAAATAAGAAATAGTACTGACATTATTGTTACTCTACTACATCGACGAACTAAATAAAATTTGTGAAACATCTATTTCGTAAATAATATTATGAATGTCTATATGCATGCATAGTGGGAATTTAACGAACTTAATGTAAATGTTATAATAATAATATTTAAATCTTTCAGCGTCTAGATTTTAGTTCATGAAGATTTCTATATAGCTATTAATTTATAAAAATTAATAAAAAAATAAAATATTATATTATAATAAGAAATATTAACAAAAATAGTGTATGTATATACGATACGATAGAATTGTCAAATAATACAATATGTATCCATATAAACAAGCTTTCGTATACTACTACCTAATCTTGGTTATTTACTTTCAATTCAATGTCAAGGTTTGTTAGTTTTAGAAATGAGAATATTACCCTTGAAAAGGTGAAAACTTGATTTACTTTCTACGCTGAAAGGTTGTTTCAATGTCGCATGTTGATTACTCGCGTGACTATTACAAATATATTGGCACTTTGTTACTGAAAGTACTGGACTCAGTAAGCCAATAAAGGGTATTTTATGTTTAATAATATTAGGCATTTAAACTAATGTCGCTAGCGTAATATGAACTTTTGAATTGTCCAGTTCGATTATAAAGGATTCAAATCTTATGGCATACTAATAGACAAATTCAGCTAAAAATGTTCTTAGATTAAATAGACTTATGAGATTATTTTTATAAGTTCTTTTAGATATTATTTAGTTTGTTGTAATTTGACATATTCATCCTCTGACATTAAATTTAAAAATGTTACATATAAAAAAAATTAACAGGTTGAGTGTTAATACTAGTGTTAGGCACTAAATGGAGAACAATATACACTCCTCGAAAAATTGCCCAATAAAATAAGCTACAGTAACCGTTTACCACCAAATGTGCAGTATGCTTGTTTGCCACCAATATAAAAAAAAGCATCCTTAACAGAACTACTGTTTTTTCTTAAAAATTTTCTTGAATTTTTTAGTTTTTTTTGATAATGAATTTTTAAAAAACAAAAAATTGAGTGTTGAAATTATTGATTTTTGAATGGATTAGGGTGAGTTTAAGGGACAAAAACTATTTTTTCCAATGGAGAACAATATACAATAGACTGTAATTCAAAATAATAACAAACAAATAATATATTTATAATATAATTATTTATGCAGATAAAGAAACTCATCTGTGCGACCAGTAGTTCTAGAGATATTTGAATGGAAAAGGATGCTTTTGCATTCAAAGATTTATTTAATTGAGCCATCCAAAGCGATTTTTGAAGCTGAATAAATACGCTAAGAGACCTATACATGCTCGAAAAAATTTTTCCATCATGAAAAACGAAACCAAAAAATTTATTTTCGCGAGTTGCAGTCTTTTACTAACATGCCATATCATCACTATTATTTACGTTGCAGACTGCTCATGAATAAAGGCTCTTGTCGAGTTTCAAACTAGTTATACAACCTGGAATGATAAATACGTGTGTAAACGCTATATATATGAGTAATTATAATTGTAAATTATTTTGAATAGAGCGATGTGTGAAACTTACAAAAGCTGTACCATTGTTATATTTTGAAATGTTTATGGCAAACAATATGTCGGTATCTAATAAGAATTTCTCATGTAATACTTTGACTGTCATAGTACTCATAGATTAATGTAAATTGTTTGATGTATGCGAACAAAAGGCTCTACGGGACTTGAGGCGGACGCGTCACGAAACAATGGTATCTCGAGTGACGGCATCACGACATACCTATATGGTGTCTGAGGTACGCTTCCGACCTTCTAGGTGCATACATGTTGACAACCGACATTGTTTCTATTATAATAGATTTTGTATTTGGACAAACAAGTTACCTAAACGATATGAATAAAAGTATTTGATCCTGAACCTGGTAAATAGTAAAAATAATTATCTAATTTTCAAATTACTGTTTCTTAGATTAACATATAGACTACTTTAACACATTTAAAAGTCGTGGGATACAGTTGGTATTATATGTCTGAAGGTTAGTAAATTTATTTGCATATTAGTTAATCACAAGTGTAGGGATTTGAACGAAATTTTCTGCACAAATAGATCATAATCTGAATTAACATATAGGATACTTTATAACCTAATTCATGCGAGCAAAATCGCAGATTATAAAATCTAATCGTTACTAATATTATGAATGTGAAAGTAAGTTTGTTTGTTTGTTACCTTATATACCTTAACGACTTAACCAATCACTATGAAATTTTTTTTTATACAACTTAGAATGGCAAATAAGCTGACGGTCCACCTGATAGAAAGTGGTAACCGTCGCCTATAGACATGAGCAGTACCATGGATATAACAGAGTATACTGTCTCGCCCATGATACCTCCCATGCGTTGCCATTCCTGAGGACTCAGGTGTTATTCCTCTGTACCCAATAAATTCACGCCATATCCCACCCTTCAAACCGAAACACAGCCATGTAAACACAACTGCTTCACGGTTGAAACACGAATTTGACAGAGGTACCAAAGCAATCGACTTTTGTACAATATGGAATGACTAACAACATAGGCTGTTTTTATTCTGGTCAGTAAACATATCCCACTTACACGGACGAAGTCGTGGATAAAAGCTAGTATAAAATATTTAATAATCTTGGCAAACAAACATACCTAAACTTGATATTAGATGATACTTTTGTTTAACTACTTTCTTTTATTTCCATATGATCTATATAATTAACAACTGATTAAATAATCTATGTAAATAACAATTGGTATTATTAGTAAATGTGAAAAAGTACTTAAGTACTTTATAATTATTTGCAAGTGACCAAATTATAAGTATCTATTCTGTGAGACCACTACGTTTATTGTAATCGAATACTTTTTAGAGGAATAACACCTTAGTCCTCAGGAAGGGCAACGCATGAGGAGTATCATGGGCGAAACAGTATACTCTGTTATGCCCATGATACTACTCATGTCTATAGGCAAAAGTTACCACTTTCCATCAGGTGGGCCGTCAGCTTGTTTGCCATTCTAAGTTGAATAAAAAAAATACTAAATAATAATAATATACTGAATAATATTATTATGTCCTTTCCCATGATCGCACAAAATTCTAAGTAAGCAATTGTTATTCATAGAATTTTAAAATGCCTGTCAATATTTTTAAACATCCCATGTCTGGCATGATTTGATGGGATCTCTTGTATGCTTCATGAATAAAACATCGAAGCAACTGTTAGATTACAATGATTCAATGGTAATGAGTTACACTAGTAAGGTCCCACGTTGTATCTGTAATAATATCACAATCAAAATAACTCTTTCCTATCAGTCGACACACACATTCGTCTAAATCAGAGCAATGCGTCCCGAATTATCATATAATGGTTCGGGACATACCAAAGTCGTTGGAC